TGAGTGCCAGCCTGTGAACCAAAGGGTTGCCAATTCAATTCCCAGTCAGGGCACATGCCTGGGTTGTGGCCCAGGTGCCCAGTAGGGGACATGTAAGAGGTAACCACATATTGCTGTTTCTCTCCTTGTCTTTCTGGCTGAAAGACAGAATGGGAGGGAGAAGTTCCTTCCCTTTCCCTCTTTCTAAAAAGAAATAAATAAAAATATTTTTTTAAAGTATAATGTTTTTCTCATGACTGCATTTTCAAATCCTACTTATCCTTCTGAATTGAGCTCATCTTATTTTCTGTATTAAATTTTGTTGTTAAATATTGGGAACATTTTTTAGACCATAGAAAAGTACAAAAGTACAGAGAATAATAATTGTTTCCATTAGATAGTTTTTTAATTTTAAAAAATTATTATTGATGGTATTGAAGTAGCTTTTCTACCTAATCCCAATACAAGTCTCTTCCCCTCTCCCCAGAAGCTAGTTGTACCTTATAGCTGGGCTGTTGGGTTAGTTTTTGAATGGTTGTTCCCTTTTCTGGAATGGTTTCAAGGAGTTTTGGATTTTTTCAAGGAGTACAGTTCCAACTCTCTAGCATGTCCAAGCCCCGGGACCCCTTCCCCCATGAAGGCATTAAAAGATCCCGAGGTAGAAAGGTGCTCTGGAGCTTCAGCTGGGTGCACCATTTTTACTGATAACCACTAGCCTTATTTGACTTCCCCAGCTCCCTCTGACTCCTCTAGCATTGAGCATTTAGTCCAGCTCCCAGTCACTTATTTTGTACCAACTATATGGATGCAGGATGTATTATTGCCTAATGAGACTATAAAATTTTGGGACACTATCATTCACCTTTTAGACCAAACTGGGAGAAGGCCCTTTAAGAGTTGTTGCAATAGAGTAGTTTACACTTGTGAGACAATCTCTTTATCGGAGAAGGGTATACATAGAAGTGTGCCTTATTTTATAGAATAGACGATATGCAGCCACCCAACAGTTACTGATAACCTACATGAATTCAACATTATAAAAGTATAAGAAATGCATAAAGACTTATAGATGCATTATTTAAAAAATCAAAAAATGAATGAGAAGCTATTACAATGGATACCACAAAATACAAAGGATCATAAGAGACTACTATGAACCATTATATGTCAACAAATTGGACAGCCTACAAGAAATGGATAAATGCCTAGAAACATACAATTTACCAAGACCAAATTATGAAGAAATAAAAAATTTGACCAGTCTGATTAATAGTAAGGTGATTGAGTCAATAATCAAACACCTCCTAACAAAGGCCAGGACCAGATGACTTCACTGGTGAATTCTACCAAACATTAAAAAAAAAAGACTTGATACTAATTCTTCTCAAACTCTTCTAAGAAACAGAAGAGTAGGAAACGCTTCCAAACTTACTTTACAAGACCAGAAATACCCTGATACCCAAACTAGACAAGGATGTCACAAGAAAAGAAAATTATAGGTCAATATCCCTGATGAACACAGGTGCAAAACTCCTCAACAAGATATTAGCAAACTGAAGTCAAAAATGCATTAAAAGCCCTGGGTGGTGCAGCTCAGTGGATTGAGCACGGGCCTGCAAACCAAAGGATCACAGTTTGATTCCCAGTCAGGGCACATGCTCGGGTTGCAGACCAGTTCCCAGCAGAGGACACATGAGAGGCAACCATACATTGATATTTCTCTCCCTCTCTCCTTCCCTCCCCCTCTAAAGAGAAATAAATAAAATATTTTAAAAATGCATTAAAAGATGTTTTACCATGATCAAGTGGGATTTATTACAGAGTTGCAAGAATAGTTCAACATCTGCAAATCAGTCAATATTATATACCACATTAACAAAATTATATGATAAAAAGTATATGATATGATTTAACATCATATCATATAACAAAAGTATATGATTAAAAGTATATGATCATATCAATAAATGTAGAAAAAGCATTTGACAAAATTCATCATTCATTTATGGTAAATACTTAATAAGGAGGGTGTAGAGGGAACATATCTCTGCATGATAAAGGTCATATATGACAAGCCCACAGCTAACATATTCAACAGTGAAAAGCTGAAAGCTTTTCTAAGATCAGGAACAAGGTAAGGATGTTCACTCTTACCCCTTTTATTCAACATAGTAAAGGAAGTCTTAGCCAGATCAATTAGGCAAGAAAAACAAATTAAAAGCATCTGAATTGGAATGGAAGTAAAACTGTCACTATTTGCAGATGACATGATAGATATACATATAGAAAACCCTAAAGATGCCATCAAAAAACTGTTAGAAGTAATAAATTCAGTAATGTTACAGGATAAAAATTTAATACAAATAAATTTGTTGCATTTCTATATGCTAATAATGAACTATCAGGAAGTGAAATTAAGAATGCAGTCCCACTTACAGCTTCATCAAAAAGAATATGTGTGCTGAAAACTACAAGATAGTAAGTGGAAAGATATTTTGTGCTCATGAATTGGAAAAATGAATATTGTTAAAATGTCCATACTAACTGAAGCAATCAACAGATTTAATGCAATCTTTATAAAAATTTCAAAAGCATTTTTCACAGAAATAGAACAAATAATCTGAAAAAATTATATGAAACTACAAAAGATCCCAAATAGCCAAAGTAATGTTGATTTAAAAAAAAAAAAAAGCTGGACGCAGCACACTCACTGGTTTCAAATCCTATTACAAAGCCGTACTATTTAAAACAGCATGGCATTGGCATAAAAACAGACACATAGGTTAATGGAACTGAGTAAAGAACTCAGAAATATACCCACAGATAATTTATGGCAAAGGAGACAAGAATGTGGAATGGGTAAAGGACAGTCTCTTCAATAGCATTGGGAAAACTAGACAGCCACATATAAAAAAATAAACTGGACCACTATCTTACACTATACACAAAAATTAACTGAAAATGTATTAAAGACTAGAATGTAAGGCCTGAAAGCATAAAACTCCTAGAAGAAAGCATATGCAGTATATTCCCTGACATAGGCCTTGGCAATAATTTTTTTAACCTGACACCAAAAGTTAAAGCAAAACAAAACCAAAAATGAGAAAGTGGGATTATACTGAACTAAAAGGCATCTGCACAGCAAAGTAAACCATTAACAAAATAAAAAGGCAACCTACTGAATAGGAAAAAATATTTTCAAATTATATATCTCATAAGAAGTAACATACAAAATACAGAGAACTCATACAACTCAGTAACAAAAAATCCAGCTTAAAAATGGGTGGGAGATATGAATCGGCATTTTTCCAAAGTTGGCCAACAGGTACATGAAAAGATGCTCAACATTATTAATTATCAGGGAATGCAAATCAAAACCACAATGGGATATCACCTCACACTTATTAAAATGTCTGTTATCAAAAAGATAAAGTGAGGATGGGGAAAAAAGAGATCTCTTGAGTATTATTGGTGGGAAAGTACAAAAAATTGGTGCAACCACTATGGAGAACAATATGGAAGTTCCTCAAAAAATTAAAAATAGTATTATCATATGATCCAGTAATTCTATCTCTAGGCATTTATCTAAAGAAAAGGAAAAAAACTAACTTGAAAAGGTGTATGCATCCCCAAGTTCATCACTTAAAATAACCAAGCTATGGAAACAACCTAAGTGTCCATCAATGGAAGAATAAAGAAAATGTGATACACACACACACATACACATACACACAATGGAATGACATTCAGCTACAAAAGAAAAATGAAATCTTGCCATTTGCACCACTGCGGATGGACTTCAAGGGCATTCATTATGCTAGGTGAAATAAGTCAGAGAAAGACAAACACCAAATGATCTTTTATGTGAAGCCTAAAAAAGAAAATCAAGCTCACAGATAGATACAGAGAACAGATTGATGGTTGAACGAAGCGGGGGGTAGAGGATGGAAGAAATGGGCGAGGGGAGTAAAAATAAAATATTATCAAGTATGGCCCTGGCTGGCGTAGCTCAGTGGATTGAGCATGGGCCTGCAAACCAGAGTATTGCAGTACAATTCCCAGTCAGGGCACATGCCTGGGTTGCAGGCCAGTTCCCAGCAAGGGGACGCATGAGAGGCAACCATACATTGATATTTCTCTCCCTCTCTCCTTCCCTTCCCCTCTAAAGATAAATAAATAAATAAATAAATCTTAAAAAATATATATTATCAAGTATGTATATGTTTGAAGTGTGTAAAGAGTTGTTTTCCTCATCTTATACAATATCTCAAATGATTATGAAACATTTTTGAAAAGAGATAGTTAACTAGTTTGTGATTTAAATGTAGTAATGGCACCCATGACTTAAATTAAATCTGCATGTTTAATTTCATAACTTGATTTATATTTTAGGAGTTTCAAAAATATTTAGTTTTTTTCCAAAACAACTTGAAAATGAAGAGTGTTTGCCCAAACAATTGAATAAGGATTGTTAACCTTAGACCAAATTACCAGTACCATTGGTTTCTTTACCAGAGCTTGAAAATATATTACAGCACCTCATTCTTTGCCTTGCCTTGGCACAGGATCACTATGTAGAGAAACCACCAAGTCTGGTGCTGTGGAACTTACACAGCATCTTCCTGTCTGTGACTGTGTGTGAACACAAATTAAAGCTGCCCTTCAGTTTGGATGATGGAAATACACTTGGCCACATGTTCCATTCTGTCATCTGGACTTGAAATAAAGCTAAGTAAACCAACACACATTTCAGTGAAATTTTTTGTAAATTGATCATTCATAAACCTTATTGATTATAACTAGACAAATTGCCTTACTATACAATGTACCATCTTTTTAACTAACACCCTTTAAAATGTCACACAAAACATCCCTATAATATTATCTCTAAAATGCAACAAAGCACCACAAGTATAAAATTTACCCAAGTCACAGAAATTACAATGATCAGTCATCAGTTGGGAACTTAATACCCAAACACTTAACTATAATTTGAATTTCTTTTTTGTTTTATTTTCCAGACACTGCAAATGGATGTCAACAAGCTGAACATAACCTTGCTTCGAATATTCCGCCAGGGAGTGGCGGCCGCTTTGGGGCTCCTTCCCCAGCAAGTGCACATCAACCGCCTCATTGTAAGATGCCTCCATTTCACGTTCTCAGGCGCAGGCTTTGATCTGCATTGAAGGATTCAGTAATAAAGAACAGCAATTAAAAGCACTCATGCTACAGTCCTATGGCCCCTGAGCCCGATCTGGCACACCGGCAGTGTTTGTGAGGAAGCTCCATGGCCCTGGCCCCACGGTCATTCGTTTGCATGTTGTCAATGGCTGCTTTCGGGTTCCAGTGGCAGCGGAGGCGTTCTAATGTTGTTTTGCTAAATCGAAGGTTAAGTCACTTGCTGCCTGGGCCTTTACAGAAAAAGTTTATCAATTCTCTCATAGTTCAAGGCTAGTACCCTGGTAGGTATGAATAATGGGGCACAAAATAACTTGTCTTACCAACCTGACACCACACCCCAAATATTCTTCCTAATAGTGACACCTCCTGTATCAGTTAAAGCCCTGCCCTTAGGCAGTATCTATGAGAACTCATTCAAATAGAGCGATAGGATGTAGGATGCTGAATGGACAGGCAGAAGATTTTGATTAAAAATAAAGAAACACCAGTCCTCCAGAACAGTGGTCCAAATGGAGAGCAAGAATAGATAGTCCTGAAAAGCCTGGGGAAAACTCGGATAGGTATGTGGGGTGGGGATGAGGCACACCCAAAGAATTTTTTGCATGGAGTCCACTTTAGACCTATCGATCAATCAGTCTCCCATATTCTTTCTTCCCTCTCGTTTTTCAAGGTTTGGAAACCTTGATATCATCCAACTGCTTGTGCCCATCTGTACTTGAAGGTGGGTGTGAGCAAAGGCAGAGAAAGGCGAATTCAAAGCAGATGATTCTCTCTTTATAAAAAGCTAATTACCTAAGGTTTCTGTGAAAAGGGACTTTGGAATCATCTTACAGATTTGAAATCGTTCTTAATCTCCACTGCAGTGGGAACTCAAGTAAGGACTGCATGCTCTCCTTGCCTTAAATTGTTCTTCTCTGGGCTTGGGCTCAGCTTTCCACTGAATCAACATCTTCATTTCTGGCTCTGGAGGAGAATTTGCTTTTTAATTTGCTTTAGGGTTTTGTTTTGTTTTTCATTTTTTATGTGTGTTGATGGGTGTGATGTTTTAGTCCCCATAATGACTTCAGTTTATAAATCAACTACTTGGGGGCACTAAATAAACTTAAAAACCAAAGTTTTAAACTCAGTACCAGAGTAGAGGAAATACAATATTTCCTAATATCCTAAAAGAGGGAAATAGGTTTTGTACGTAAGGCATACCTTGCTTAAATGAGAAGTTTTAGGTACTATAGATGTTCTTAGCTCTAGATCTAGAGTTTTTATATGCTTAGATATATTACGTATACTTTTATACATATTTATACATTTAATTAAATATTACATTTATTTATATATATTTCATGACCATAGTCGCTCTTGGCAGGGATAAAAGGAAGGCTTGCCACACCCAGGCAGGGATACGCCTGCCCCAGGAGAATGTTAGTGACATTCACACCCACTCGTTTCTAAGAGTCGTTATCATGGTGGGTTGAGTTATGAGGATGCCCAAGGCAGCAGAGCACAGGGTGAAGAGCATTTACTTTGGAGACAGTCAGAGCTGTACTCCCTCTCCAGAGTGGCCGAGTCTCAGCTGTATGACCTTAGGCAAGCTACTCATGTTTCTTCATTTGCAAAATGGAGAGAATAATAACACCCATGTGCTGGGGTGGGGGGGTGTTGAGCATGAAAGGAGATAACAGATTTAAGGTACATAAGAGTGTGTCAGGCAAAAGAAGCAAAAACAAGTGTTTTATTCCTGCTATTGTTGTTATTAGGTCATAAACTATTTAAATTACTGTAAACATGTTTGACATCAGGGTTATGCTATATGTAGTCATTGTCTGTTGTTTTCTGCAAATACAGAGTCGTTTTCTTTTCTGGATTGCTAGTGGTATTCTGATACTGCATTTTATACCTGACTGCACGTCTGATAGATTACATTAAAAGAAAATTTTCTAGCATGAGAGAACAACTTGTACCAAAAAGATTAACAATAATTCCCTTCCTAAGTACATTGCATAATTTGTAAAGAGAATCTATCAGTGGCAGTGGCACTTTTGTGATGTTTTTATGAGCATGTGTCCTGTCCACAATTTATGATAGAAAAAACCCTCTGTCCTCATTTCAGCCAATGAGGTAATACTGACCGGAAAGTTTCATGATATCACTGTGCAAGCTATGCATTTCTACCCAAGGGTAGGTAGACTTTTGAAATGTGACAATCGAGGGAAAGAACAGAATCAGGGAAGCAACTTCAAAGCTCATTTAGCATCACCTTCCTTAGTGATTCTGGCCTTCATGTTAATACGAGTTACAAGAAAAATACATGAAGTGGAAATGTGTCATAATTGTACAATCGCATCAGGTTTTATTTAATTCATTTGATTTTAAAATGCTTCTTTAAACACAATTACTCAGGGAACATCTGAACAGTACATTTCAAAGATAATATGGAATGGAAAATAAACCAGTATCCAGTGAAATGATAAATCTTGAGGTGTCAGTTACTTGAAAAAAAGGCTGTTTGAAGACTTTAGGCTTTGGGCTGGTATTATTAAGTGTACCAGAGAACAACGATAAAATGTAATCTCTAAGATGCCTTTTAGGGTTCTGGGGTCTTGGTTTTCTTTAATGTTTCTAGACGAAGGTAAAAATATTTCCCAAAGTTGTTTAAAATGTCTCTTAACACAGACAAATAATCTGTGTTTCCTAGGAAAAGAAGAACAGCGTGGAGCTCTTTGTGTCCCCCGTACCTGGAAAAGGAAGTGTTTCCGAGGCTCTGCCATCTGAGGAAGTCCTGCGTTCACTTAACATCAATGTCTTGCATCGGAGCTTATCCCAGTTTGGAATCACAGAAGTCTCCCCTGAGGTACGTTGTTGCGTGGAAGATTTCACCTGAAAGTCTGCACAGCTAGCGTGGCACCGTGACCCAGCCTCAAGGGGCTTTGCTACCAATGCTGTTTATTTATGCTATTTGATAACGAAAATATCCCTAAGCATCAGGATTCTCTGATCGTCACCTCATATGTTTACTCCTTAAGGAATTTCATTTTCATGTCAAAATTTCAATTTCTGACACTTTCTTCTTCAAACCTTTATAGCCTTTTCATGTATTTTTACTTACCCAGTACACTATCTAGGAAAAAGGCCATTTAGGTATCTTTGTCAATTGGTTATTTCAGACTGAAATGTCACAAACACACGGACACAGTCAGACCTTCCTTCCGCAACAGGTTCACCTCTCCTGGCTGCTTTCATTGAGAAAATAGTCCCCAGGTAGTCACCTGTCTCCACAACCTTGGAATTAATTTGAAATGTTATTTTTCTTTTGCTGAGGACCCCAACCTTAAGAACTATGGGTGTTTTCTTCTTAGTGTTTTCCCAGTTTGACGCCATTTAAATTTCCCTTACCAACCCTGCCATTCTCACTCCTGGATTAATTCTGTCCCTTTTCTAGGATTTCTACCCCACCCCACTCTAAGAGACTCAACAGAATGACTGTCATCATACACATATATAACTAAATTCACAGGACCACAGAATCAGACCTCGAGGGAACACGTGCGAGCATTTTATAGGTACAGAAGTAGGACCCATAGAAATGAAGTGCTGCCATCAAGGTGACGAAGCACGTGAGGTAGGAAGCAGCATTTAAAATCTGGACATCTTGAGTCTTAGGCTATCCCACTTTTCAGTAAAATGCATTGCCCCCTCATTTCAGCAAACATCATGGGTCCAGGTCCTTCACAGACTGACTGGCACACATTTTACCCAGGACGATTCTTGAAAATTTAAAAACACCGTGGGATTAATTCATGCTGCTTCCTGTGAGCTTTTCCGTGACTTCTACGAGCCTTCTTCCCTGTTCTTTATTCTGAATTTAAATGCCATTCTGAATGCTTTAGGAATATGGCAGCTTAGTGAGTCATGAAGATTTGTGAGAAGCTCATCATACAAAAAAAAGGCATTAAAATCAAGTACACATTGGGGGGCCTCCAGCACACCCCAGCCCGGTGAAGATTAATAGCTTAGCCTGACTGCCTATCACAGAATTATTAGCCCACAAAACCCCAGGTCTGTGCTTTAACAGTGAAAGTGTATTTGATGGTCAAACTGTAATATTTTCTTCTGAAATTTAGGAAATATTATATTGCATGAGACTAAAACGTATTTTAACTGGGTCTAAGAAGCATTTTATCAAGAACAGAAGAGTCGAGCAAGCCTTTTGCTCAGGCGCTTCTAAAAGGGGCCCAGCATCGCCCTGTGACCTGAAGCTCTAACTGCAGCAACAGGAAAAAGAGCCCCTGTGGGCAGCTCCCCCCACACGCCGTCCACAGGGGTTGGCACAGAAGCATTTGCGCAGAGTTGTTTCACCTGGGAATGGTGTTCTGTGAGCTCCCCCTTCTTTATTCATCTCTGTGGTCAGTGTGTGATGGTGGCTTAGGCCTCAGCCCTTTCTTTCACGTTTTCATCTAAAATTACAGCTCTGCTACGGGAGCATGTTTATTAGGAGAAAAAAATGAATATTGTTATTTTGGTTTTTCATCCTTTACAAAGATTATAGAACATTATGAATCATGTCTCAAAGCATCTATTCCTAAACTTATATTAACTACTTTCATGGAAAGATGTATTTTTGTTGTTGCCATTTCTTTATTTGCTCGATTTTTTTAAAGTCAGAAATAACTCTCGGGAAAGAAAGAAAAATACCAAATAGAGAATTACTTTTGCTCATTATGTGTTCTCATTTTGAATCTACACTTTGGGAGAGAAAAAGACACGTTTTAAATCTTCATCTGAGCACATGATTGTTGATTTGAGAGAAAGACAGAGAGAAACGTGGATTGGCTGTTTCTTCTACATACCCTACAGGGATCCAATGAGCCCCCTTCAGTGCCTGCGACGATGCTCTAACCAACTGAGCCACCGGCCAGAGCAAAGAGTTTTAAAAAAACACTTTTTATGCAATACCTAGGACATTGTAGGGACACAAATATTATGTTATTATAAGATACTCATAAAGATAAAATTAGACTTCTTGCTTAATAAGTCAACTCTCGGGCAATAAAATTAAATTTATTATTTTAGTTTCTATTTGTAAATATTTCTGTAAGATTAAGTGTCTATTGAAGCAGTAAGCCCTGCATTCACGTTGCACGCAATGTGGGTTTTGGTGGCTGCCTTTGGGGGGATGGGACCCCAATTTTACAGGTCTTATGCTGCAGAGGAGGAAGTTCCCTTCTCTAAATTACAGGCCGGTGTGTCAACTGATCCTTTCATGGAGTATTTACAAAGATAAAATATCATACCAAATAAACACAAACCCTAGTCCAGGAGTTCGGTGACTGTTCCCTCATACCAAGAACATTAGCCAGCAGTCTAAGGAATTACCATCCCGGCCAGACAGTGCTGAGGGGGATGCAGGGTTAACACGTCAGATCATCCCAACTTGCAGGTCGCACAGTGGAAGTGTGGCATCCACCGCACAAAACCGTGTGGCTGCAGGCTTCGTCTTATTTATCTGTGCAAGTCAGTTAATGGACCACATAATGTATTGATATCTCTACTTCACTCTTATGACGTGTTCTTCATCTCTTCTAAAGAGATATATCAACTGAAGCCTCTGTATTATATCTCCTAGCATTTGGGAATTTCTCCCACCTCTGGGATCAGAACGAATTTAAGAAAGAAAAAGAAAACTACAGTACATTAAATTATTCAACAGTATATAAAGAAGCCATTGTTATTGATACAGTGATACAGGAAACTGCCCAAATTTTAAATCATAAAACAAAACAGAACCCAAGAACTTGCACCACAATGAAGTTAACAGGCAAAGCGATGTAGCTAGGAAATAAGATGCAAAGATGATACAGCAGCATTGGCTTGGCCCAGCCGTGGAATCTCTGAACTATTGAACCCTTGGTCCCCTGACAAAAATATAAAAGGCATCACTTTAACCTTCTGCAAAGGTTAGATGGGAGAGTCCTGTAAATTACAATCTTTTGATTCGTGGAATCTTAACTACAAACTTTTTCATTTATTACCCTGCCCTTATCAAGTTTTTTAGATCTCTGTACAAATATAGTAGTGCTCAGCAGGAATAGCATGACTCAGAAGGAAATCTATTTACCAAGAAAGTACAGTGACTAAGTTCTGGGAGTACAAAACATGTGTCTTTCTAACTGGGAGTGGGAGAGGGGGGTGGGAGGTTAATTCTTCCATCAGCACTGCTTTGGTTAAAAGGGAAACAAAACAGTTGTCTTAAGCTGAAAGGAACATGTTGATATTCCAGGAGGTGTAGAACTATAGCAAGAAAAAAAGAAATGAACCAGATCAGGTTAGGAACACAAAATCTCTTTCCACCCACCTGGCCACCCCTTTTTATCCAGATTTTTAAATATATATTTTATTAATTATGCCATTACATTTGTTCTATTCCCCCCTTCATCCTGCACACCCCTCCCCCACCATTCCCCCCCTTTAGTTTATGACCACTTGAATATGGGAAATATAGAATGTCAAGTTCTTTAGATTCTATATCTCCCATACTATTCTTGCCCTCTCCCCTATCCATTTTCTACCTACTGTCTATGCTACTTATTTTCTGTACCTTCTCCCCCCTTCTCCTCCCCCCACTCCCCTGTTGCTAACCTTCCACGTGATCTCCATTTCTATGGTTCTGCTCCTGATCTAGCTTTCCTCTTAGTTTGCTTTTGTTTTAGGTTTTTTACATTAAGTAAAACTCAGATCCTCATACTTAAATTTGACAAGTTTATGCTGCCTACCTGGAGGCTTAACTTTAACTAGTTTGCTTTTAGAGCAAGCAATAGATGCCATTTAGTTGCCTACAAAATTTTCGTTTCCTGGTTTCTTGGAGAATCTTCTGTTTTATTAGTTTTCAGCTATGTTTATGGATGTACTGGAATAAAATATGATCTGGATGAAGTCAAACAGTGAAAGACGACTTGTCACTTGAAGCCAAGATTTCCTTTCCAGAAAGATACTTGTTGTCTAATCCTGACTGATATGGCTTAGAGGGTTGGGCAAATAGAAGGTTCACCAGTTCAATTCCCAGTGAGGACACCCTGGGTTGAGGGTTTGGTCCTGATCCAGGCATGTACAAGAGGCAACAGATCCAAATCCATGTTTTTCTCCCTCTCTTTTGCCTGCCATTCCCCTCTCTCTAAAAATAAATAAATAAAATCTTTTTTTTAAAAAAGATAATTGGTCTCTAATCATTTCATGAGGCAAGTATTTTGAGATTCTCCATTCACTTACAATTTACATATTTTCAAAATATATCTCAGAATCATTTCTTATGTCCATGAATTTGTCTGTGCCTTAGAAAGTAGTCAAGATAGCATAGTGAGCATGTTAATGTTTTACAAGCAAAGGAGATAGAAACTCAACAGTTTTAAACATCCAAAGGTCCTTCAAATTGTTGTCAATCAATCACGTTGTAACTCAGGTAACAGACCCTTTCTGTTCTGTCTTACTCAGTTCCAAGACTCACCTGAGTTCCAGGATAAAAGTTTTCATAAAATTATTTTTAAGGCAAATATTCCTTTTATCTAACTTACAAATGGTGAGTGTGCTCTATAAGTATTTAAAGGCTCAAAAATTACTAGCAATGATTTCTAAGTTCAGACACAAGGACAGGTGTTATTCCAGGCTTGCTTTCTCTTCTTCTCCTCCTCTTCTTCCTCCTCCTCTTCCTCCTTCTTTCTTCTTCTTCGAGATAATTGCTATTTATTGCTCATGATTCTTTGGATCAACCAGGCTCAGCTAGGCTGTTCTTCTGTCCCACACAGTATAGGCTGCAGTCACCCCAGTGATTACATTTGCCACTGAAATGTTCAAAATGGTCTGCTATTTTCCAGGGCCTTTCTCCAAGTGGCTTTCATCATTCAATATTTTGTAGTTCAAGGCTTTATTACTCATTGGAGGCAGCAGTCAAGGACAAGCACACTCTCACAAGAGGGGGGCGGAGGCAGCCTTCAACAACATACAGACATGGGACTCGATTTAGCCTTTATATGTTTTTCTTGTTGTGGACCATTTGATTTCAAGTTAAAGTTTCTTTAACTACAAGTCTATAATTTTCACTGAGTCATAAAACAAATTGCATTCTAAGACTTGACTTAGTAGAAAACCTTTAAAAAAAAAAACAAAGAATAGGTTAAATAAAATTAAAGCACTCATTCACATTTTATTCATGCTTCTTTTCCAGCCTTCCACCGCTAAAGTAGTGAGCAAAAAAAATAAGTGTAAATAAAAATAAAAATAGTTATTTCATCTTTTATTACCAAGTAATTCTGGACTTTTTTGGTGTTTCCTGTTACTTAAAGAGAATGTAATTGTCTAACAATTTATGTAGCCGAGGCAGTATTGTAATCAGATTTTGACAAATAAGAAAGCATTTTTAAAAGGTTCGATAAAAGAGGAAAGAAGAAGGGAAGGAGCGCCACAGTGTTGCTCTGTTTACTAATGCATCAGGAGGTTTGGTCTGCACCTGCTTCACTCGTGCTGGACAGTTAAGAGCTGTGTCACAGCATGTAAACCAGGGTGTTGTGGTGGTGGGAGGGGACTCCAAACAGTAAGGAAAGCTTCAGAAACAATGTCCTCAACACGGGAAAGAACAGAACTCTCTTACCCATGAACCAGGTCATTTCCAAAGAGACGGCAAGGGACTTGTACGGAGCCTCAGACCTGATGAGCCAGGCAGGCACGCTTGTCCCTGTACAGGAGATGAAACAACCTCCTCACGTGTAAGGGCAGCCGTGTCTGTCTTAAAGCAGTTTGAGAAGCAGCTCTGGCGGCGTGGAATGTAGGTGTGTTCTACTACACTGAATGGAATAAAGCTAAAAATATGGTTAGTGTCTGATAAGAACAACAGCCTCGTCAAGCTCTCCTCTAACGTCGGACTTTCTGTTTTGCTTTTAAAGAAAAATGTTTTACAAGGGCAGCATGAAGCAGACAAAATCTGGAGCAAAGAAGGATTTTATGCTGTTGTCATATTTCTCAGCATCTTTGTTATTATAGTAACGTGTCTGATGGTAAGTTTGCTTCTTTATGTATTTTATCCTTTGCTGAGCCCACTGCTTAATGTTATTGGATACATTTGCCATTCAAATGAATGTTGAAAAGACTGGGAACAGAGCAAGACTATGATGCTGTTAAACTGGGGGATTTCATGTCTGACAGCGGAATGATAGCTAAAGCAAAACCTACGGAATTCTGGATTCTGACCTGCAGAATACAGCTGGAACTGCACTGAGGCTTTAGTAACTTGATCGGCCCTGAGAATGAAGTTTGAGGAAATGATTCCCAGGGGTCACTAAAGCCTCACAGTCATTAAAGTCTCATGGGCACACTTTGGGCTTACTTTATTTGTTCATTTATATCATTTTTATTGAACTCAGGGAAATTTTTTAAAAAGAAATATGTCTTAAGGGCCAGCTTACTCCTTATAAAGGGGTTGATTTACTTATTTTTAAACGGCCCTCAAAGCATTTTATGAAATTTCAGGCATGAGAAAAAATGATTATAGACTCAAAAACTATACAATACACTACCAACTAATTTTTTAGGTGAATGAATACTATAAAAATATAACTGCAAATAGCTCTATAAATTACAAATTATGAGTATGAAACCTTTAAAAGTGTATTTCTAATTTAGAAAATAGAACCCAAAGTAAACCTAAACACACTAAACTACACAATGCTCTTTGGTGTTGAATGAGTTAACAGTTGCTTTTCAAAAAGAAAAAACAATTTTATTCTTTTAAAAATTCTGTGATGTAACTTAAAATATTTGAAGTTTACAAATGGGTTTTAACAACTTTTTCCTGTGTGCTGCATTCTTTTTAAATTTTGCATATTTTTAAAAACATGCACACCTCAGTTTTCAAGTGCCCCACAAAGACATCATGCTATTTATTCTTCCGCAATCAGCGGTGTTGCTAAGTGTTTCATTGGATTTCCTGCATTCATTTGTGCTTCCCCTGCTGGGCAGTGGTTTATGTTAGAAATGTTAGGGCTTTTGGGAAGACAGAGGCTGAGTAAGTCGAAGGATATAAAACAGTCAAGGCCTTGCACAGGGTGATGAGAAGCATATTTCCTTGACCCTGAACACCGGGTCAGTGACAACGCCCCGAAGCGTCTTCCATCCTAACAAACTCAGAGGCATCTCCTAGGGGCCAGGCATTAAGGAAGATTTCTGAAAATTGTGACATAATAAACAAAAGAATCATTTAAGAGTTGAGTGTGGAAATGGATTTTTATATATTAAAGGGTAGAGGTTAAGAAAAAATAATTTTAATGAGAGAACATCAGAGGTTATGGAAATTGTGGCAGAGACTTCCGGTGTTTGTCAGTGTTTTAGATGGTGTGGTTCCTTGTTATGGTTAATTGCACTTTAGTATATCTGGTTCTGCATTTCTTTTATTCAAGAAATCTCAAATGCTGTGCTGTCTCTTGTCAGTGACAATTAGGGTGTTTTTCTGCTTCACTGGTGAAAAGGATGTGAGGACAGGAAGATAGAGAGGGATAAAGGAGTGATTAAATGGAAATTGTTGGGGAGGGGAATGGTGAGATTGGGAAGCGCAAAGACAAGGTTAAAAGTGGGGAAGTGGGGAAGCAGATTCATGAGCAGCCTGTGAGCTCTAGAGGGGAGGGGGAGGCAGAGCAGGGCTTGCTATCAGCATGTAAGATGCGCTCCAGATTCTGCATTTCCAAGCCAGGGAGCACCCATGACTCTAAAATGACTGACTAAATCCCTACCTCAGACATTGGTTTCCGGTGACAGAAGGTCTTCTGGCAAACACACCCTCAACCACCTGGGCCCGAGAACAACTCTTCTTTGCTCAGCATGTGCAAAGCACCAATGTGTGCAAAGCACCAATGCAAAAGTCAAAGACCGGCATGGGTCTGCTCCAAAGTAACTAGAGCAAATCAAAAAAAGAATAATTCAGAGGTCTAGGTGGTTGCACTCTCCTGGGTTGGTGGGCAGATTCATCCATTCATTCAACCCACACATTCCTTCCGAGGAGCCACAGAGGGCCTGTTGCTGGGGATGTGGGCAAAGGAGAGAGTGAGGCAAGTGAGGCCCCTGTTCTCATGGGGCCTATGTACTGTAGCAGGGCACGGGTGGTCATTAATATTTTAAAAAACCAAAGAGTGAACATATGGTACGATTCCAAAGATAGGACACTCTGGAAAAGGCAAATCTACAGAGACAGTAGGAAGTTCAGTGGTTGCCAGAGGCTGGGTGGGGTGGGGTGAGTAGGGCTTGGCATTTTTCATTGAGTGAGACTGTTCTGTGTGACACTATACTGTGAATACAGGGGTGGGCAAAGGCAGATTTACAGGTGTGAGTACATGACACAAAATTTATTCTTGTATCATTATTCATTTATTGATTATTGCATTATTTATTATTATTATTCACCTACTTTTGCCAAGCCCTACATATGGCATTTATACATTTGTCAAAAACCCATAGAATGTACAACACTCTGAGTGGCCACCATCTAGACTATGGACTTCAGTTAATTCTATCAATATTGGCTCAGCAATTATAACACATGTACCACACCAATGCAAGCAAGATGTTAATGACAGGGGAGATCGTTAAGGGAGGCAGGGGAGAAGGAGTAAAGGCAACTCTACTCTGCTCAATTTCTCTATAAACCTAAAACTGTTCTTTAAAAATTAAGTGTATTAATTTTTTAAAAATCTCAGTTAGTGTTAAAAGTGTCACTAAGAGAGAACATAATAGTGAGTGAGGGGAGCAAAGCCATGTGAGACATGAAAATGCGGGATGAGGGCCTTCTGGGCAGGGGGGATCGGTGGGAACAGCTGAGGTGGGGTAAGTGTAGCCTGTTTGGATTCAAGAAGAGTGGAACCTGTGTGCTATATTTTAGCTTGATGAGAAAGACCATGGTGGCCTTGAGTAGGGGGTGGTGGTGGAGATGGGGAGAAGGGCAGGATTGGAATTTATTTGGAGGTGGAACTGGCAGGACTCTGCTGTGTACTGATTCTCAGTGAAAAGGAAAAAAGGATGAGGATTGACTCCTGGGTCGTCTGGCCGCCCAGCGGGGCTGTGATGCTCCGCCCACTTCCTGGGAGAGGCACGTGGCTGGTGCAGCGCGGGAGCGCAGTGGTGCTTCCAAGTTGTCTCCCAGCAGTTCTTGAGATGAGAGAAAGCAGTCGAATGGTGTATTTCAAACACTGTCTTCGGTTTTACTGTGAAAGAGTCACTTGAATGACTACCAGGAACAAACCATCAGTACATAGAAAGGAGTTAACATTGAGAGAAAAGTAAAACCTATCTAACAGACGGGATTAGGATAACTTTAAATTTATCCGATGCAATGTAAGCACTGATGACTCAACAGGTCACATTTAAGGGTATGTCAAGTGTGGTTCTCTGAAATAAGTTGATCTTTGTAAAGGTCCCAGTGTTTTTGATGATGATCTTGATTTAAAGTTAAATTTTTACTTAGATCTCTTGGTAAGAGTTATACCATCACTCTGTGATTCTTAAATACATATAGTCCAATTTATTTTTCTCCTAATTATGTTAATTCCATGGCAAAAGAAAAGATGTAACTCAGAATTTTTCTGGGGCATTACTTATGAAAGATCAAATACCATTATTTGCCTCCAGCCTTCCTACATACCACAGAAATGAAAAGCATTTGTTTTTATTATGAAGTTACGTAGGTAAAGTGCTGTCATGGAGGATTCCATGTGCTATATAACAATAACATAAGGCTTGGCAAAATTTTTGAAATGCAGCATATTGTTTACTTTTCTTAAAATAAAAATGTATATGTTGCCAGGCGTAAAATTAGACATGCATGACATTTCAAATGTGTGACTTATTTAGCACCTTTCAAATGTGAATGTACGGTGGGTGGAGCCACAAATAGACAATTCTCTAAGAAAAAATGTGTGGGCAACTTCCAGTCCATTCAGAATTAGCTCTGAAACTCGAATACATAATAGAAAGAGCATGTGTCATGATTTAGACCTTCAGAGGTACTTAGAGTTTTAGCAATGAGTACGGAGGTATTTATGACACATACGTAGAGATATCGACTAGCCAAATTGCTTCTGGAAAGCACAGAAAACATATTTTTTTTAAAAAACAGCTGTTTGGGTCAGTAAAAGCTCTGGAATGTTAGAGCTACTCGTAGGTCAGACAAAGAGTTTCTCTAGTCACGGCCTTGTGGGCTGAGGCAGGAAGTCATGGATCACACTGCCCGCTACAACCTGAGCATCACTCAGGAGAAACTGGCAAAGGCAGACATAGATCACCACACTTTTCTAATGTTTGTGTATAATCCTAGAGACTGAGAGAAATTGAATTAGGCTCCTACGCAGAGTTATTTGAGACAGAATCATTTTCCAAAGTAGGTATGTATCTCACAGTAATTTTCAATATTTTTCTGGATTAATAAAAATCACCTATTAGGTAAGAATATAATCCTCTTACTAAGAAGAAAAATAATAAGAAGAAGAATTTGTTTCTTGTATTTATTTATTGCATACTTACTGGTACTAAACTTTCTGCCTAGTATTAAACATTGAATGTATTTTTAATCCACATTGTTGAGGTATGATTAACATATAAAAAACTGTACATATTTAATGTACGCAATTGATGAGTTTGGAGATAAATATACACCCATGAAAACATCACCACAGTCTATGCCATAAACATATTCATCATCTCCAAAGTTCCTCCACTTTATTTATTATTATTTTGTATGTAATAAGAACACTTAATATAAGATCTACCCTCTTAGCAAATTTTTGAAGTATGTAATACAGTGTTGCTAACTACAGGCTCTTTGCAGAAACACTTAATGTATACTAGTTCCCTAATTTTACTGATGAGAGAACCCCAGTTCAGAGAAGGTAAGTGACTTGACAAAGACCAGACAGTGTGTGGGTGTGTGGGTGCATGTACAGGGGTGCCTGAGGACAGGAACTGGGGTTCCAGTCCACGTCTGCCTGGATTAAAAGTTTGAACTCTCTACCAGGAT